AAATATTACGCAATTAGGTGGATTGTCGGTTCAGTAGGTTTATAAGATGAAAGTCGATATCTTTAACTCGCGTGTCAGAATAGTTTGGTCAGTTCTGCGAGTATGATAAATATCGAATATAATGGCTTTAACATATGTCGATGTTAGCTAAAGTTACGGGATATCTGTCAGTGATGTAGGGAGGTTTTCATTTTTATAAGTTGCAATACCGCTTACATGTTTACTTTCTATGCGCCGCCATCAGGCTCACCTTCTGCCGATATCTTCTCTGGTCGGCGGCTCTGAGGCTTCCTCCCGCTCAACGGATGCTGCTGTCATTGCTGTGGTGACAACGCGATTGTTTTAACGGCCGCCGTCGTTATGATGTTTCATTCTGATTTTGCTTATATTATTATAACATAAGCAAAATCAGAATGGAAAAGATGCATACAACGTCCGCCGGACGTTATCATAACGTTAAGTTTCTAAGGTAATCGTAACGTCTGTCACCCGCAACAATGACTATTTATTGTCAGTTTGACTTTTCAAAAATTGGGAAAAAAGACCATAGCGAGATGTCGCGAGAAATTCCGCTGGAAATACAGGAGGAAGCAGCTGCGGCTACTCAAAATTTACTTCCGACTATAACCAGAGAGATATATCAGCAGGAATATGACAATTTTTTGAAGTGGCGGCAGGATAGAAGTATAAACAGCGTAAAAGAAGCGGTATTGCTGGCTTATGCTAATAGAATGTCTGAAATGTATTCTCCTACATCACTGTGGACAAAGATATCCATGATGAAGCTTGCGTTGAGAGTATATGAAACATCGACATATCAAGGTAAAAGCCATTATATTCTTTGATATTTAATCATACTCATCTAAATTATATTTGTTCATAGATTTGGTAAACTGTCCATGTTTCTGAGGCGCAAAAACGAAGGTTATTCACCAAAAAAAGCCAAAGTTCTGTCGGAGAATGACATAAATAATTTTCTACTGGATGCCGATGATTACACCTGGTTACTGGAAAAAATTGTATTGGTGCTTGGTATTCTTGGAGCTTGTAGGCGCAGCGAGCTTTGGTCACCCACAGTTGATGATTTCGAAGATCCGGAGAAAAATATTCTTGTCTCATTAAGAAATACTAAAAATAAGAAAAGATAGAAATTTCTATTCCAAAAACGGGCCTTCCGTTTGATGCCTAAGGTTTATACAAAATAAGGACAACCTGCGTCCTCGTAACTTTGACAATCCAAAATTTTTCATTGGTTACAAGAAAGGCAAGTGTGTTAAGCAAATCGTCGGAATACATACCATCGGGAGCGTACCGCAGAAAATTGCAAAATTTTTGAACTTGGAGAATCCAGAACGTTATACAGGGCATTCATTTCATAGATCATCAGCAACCATGCTAGCCGAAAATGGTGGTGATTTACTATCGCTAAAGGAGCTAGGAGGATTGGAGTCTTCAACAGTGGCAGAAACTTACATAGAAAAATCAGTTTCCACAAGAATGAAAATAACAAATCAACTTTTTCATGATAGCTCCAAAATAATGTGTCTTTAGTGGATACAAATATTTGCCATTCATCAGTAGCATCATCTTCTTCTATAAAATCTGTAAATCCCTGGGAAGGATTACAGATTTCTAAGAACAACAAGTGCACTTTAAATTTCCATGTTCATTATCATGAAAAATGAATTTTAGTATAAGACATTATGTATTTTTATCCTTACTTGTGTTATTGTTCAATAAAATTTGTTATTAAATAGTAGTGTTTATTGCTCTAAAAAATCTGCAGTATGACGAAAAATCTAGAACGCAACATGGCCGATAACAAATAACGGCCTTAGCTGCTTATGATCCTCGGCTATCGCCTCGTATCACAAACTTCAGCCCGGCCGTTATTTGTTGTTTATCTGCCTTATTACGTTAATAACTATAATTTTACAAGTCATTTTTAGTTGCACTAGAATTTATTAACCACAGTTACATATTTTTATGCGTAATAATATAATTATTTTATTCGATAACAGACTTTTTAATATCTTTAAATGGCAATTACTAGTTTCACTGGATTTAAACATTTTATTACATTAAAATTAAAAGAAAATAAACATAAAATAGTTTGTTATTCAGCTTAATGAATAAAAAAAAGGTACATTTTCTAGCAAAATTTTACCCTGCCATGCTATTTTAAAATCAAATTACCTACGTGACCCTGCAGGTATGAAAAGGCTATATTTTGAATAGCTTCAACCCTCGGCCAATAATTCAAAGCCCAATAACACAAATTTACAAATTCAAGCTCTCTTGTGCGAACGCCTTTTATGTTAGTAATAAAATGAATAGTATTTCAAATAGAGTAGTGTAGTTTTGTAGAACGAAAAAATAAAGAATAATTGCCCAGAATACAATGAAAAACAATTACTGCGAATTTTAATTTGAACAAACTTAACTACTCTAATTAAATACTGAAAATAAAAAAAATCATAACAAACATTGTCTAGATACAATTGAGACTAATTTGAAATTTTGTTTGCAAAAATTCTTTTAGAAATGTCAAATTTAAAAGAAAATAAACTATAAAGCTCTATTTAAAATGAACGATTCCAGGTCATTTTCGTTTCGTAGATAAATAGAGATGATAGAAAATGTCTAGAAATTTTGATAATAATATTTTCTTTCAGTGCTAGTCAACAAACATCTAAAGTTGTATAACTGTAAAATAGCGTCTAACCTTGACGTAAACAACCACAAAGATAGTCCGAATTTAATATAAAGATAATATTATTCCATTGTGGTGAAAATTAAAAATATATAAAAATATTAATCTTGACATTATTATTTTAACAAATTCGGTAACATACAAATGACAGCTCGGATTTTACCGAAAAAAAACTACCCTGGGTTTTTCCTCAGACCTGTCCCCCCAAAAGTAGTCCCTCAGTCGCTCCCCCGCAACCACCCCATCCCATCCACCGACCTGGCTTTCACGGACACAACCTTTGCGCCCACCGGGAAGTTCTCCCTAATGTAGATCGGGCCGTAGACCACGTGGTCCCACACTGGGGGGTTATTGGCCCGATCGACCACGTCGATCTGCACCTCCACCGATCGGGCGAGGGGCGGGTAGCCCTTGTCCTGGGCGGTGGCCTCGAGCTTGTAGGTCTCGCGCTATCAGCAGGCGCAGCGCATTTGCAAAAAAGGTAGAAGGTACCCGAGGACAAGGCGTGTGTTAGATGATTTTTTAGGGGGCGTGGATTGGTAATAGTATAGGTAAAAGGTTTATAAAGGTCTAGGGAATACAGTATGAACGTCGTTAAGGAATAGTAAAAATGAGTTACTATTTCTTAAAAACATAAATATAAATGTTGTGTGCTTGAGAAAAGTTCTCAAAATATTATGGAACACTTAATTTGTATGCTGTTCTCTTCTTAATAGTTTTGAAATATCATGTAGTCTAAAGGGTTTGTAAATAATTAAAACATATATTTCATTATAAATCTATAAAATTATTTGGAAGAATTATTTTTTGAAAACTTTCTAAACTTAATGCCCTTCATATAACTAAAAGTCTATCGATGTTATCAAAAAATTTTAACTATGGCCTGTTATAGAAAAGAATATTTCTTACTTTCTTAAAAAAAAAATTAAAATAAAGATATAAGTTTGAATTATAAAACTGATAACATACACATACAGATAAACATAAAATTTAAAAAAAAAAAAAAAAAAAAAAAAAAAAAAAAATTGATATAAAAATATATATTAATATATAGCTCAGATGATTTAATGAACTTGAATGATCTACACTACTATAAATATAATTGCATTCAAGTATCAATATCTTATAAAACCTTAGTGCCTCCCACAATACAAGATTATTTTTCAAATTTTTTTTTTTTTTTTTTAAAATAAAAATGTATAATACCTTTCATTATTAATTCAATAAACCTAGAGAAAAATGGATCACAATAACGCCGTGTTATAAAAACAAACCAAACCACTTGTATATGCCACCCAAATACATACAACGCATTGTATATATTTGAGAATTGGACAACAACTGGTTCTGCCTTAAATCCAAAGAAAGTAAACCCAAGTAATATACAACAAAGTTTTGTACATATTTAATAATAAAATAATTTTTCCACCAACGTTTTAGAGTCTATTTAGTATTAGGCAGGTTTTGTTTGTGTTGGGTAGCCAAATTCTATCAGCATCAGTTCAATAAGTTTTCAAGCAAGAAATCTTAATATTCTAATGTGTACATTAATCATAAAACATTTCCGATGCACGTCATCAATCCTATCAGGAAATTGACATAAAGCCTATAAACCTGACTAAATCAAATTTTGGCAAAAATGTTTAAATTTGTTGTATAATTTAATATACCCAACAGCTCTTCATTTTACTTTATAGGGCAAATGATTGTAACAGATATTATATTTAGATTAAAGCTGCAAAATTAGATTTAACCGAATTTTATTATCGCTACGTTCACAGGGGTCATTTTATTTTTTTAGGAATTAATAAATCGAAAAGAAAATAAGGTATCAAAAAACCTACGATTGATGTTGTATTTCATTGTCAATAAACCAGAGACATGATTAAACAACAATATTTTTTTATCTCAACATAGGTTGCTTAGGCGCAACGTCAAAGTTGATTTTGTCTTCCGTTGCTTATTTATTGGTTTTGTGACGATTATCTTTGAATTTTTTAAGATTGTAATTTGCATAACTAGGCAGCGATTTTTGAGACTAAGTTGGTGTTTTAAGTTGTTTTTGGATAATTTCATAATATATTTACGTACCGTGTAAAATAGAAAAAGGTTCTTTTAAATGTTATGACGAGAGTTATGACGTTTGAGACATACATTCATAGAATTTTTTCTTAAAATAAGGTCTAAGAATCATCTCCTAAATACTAGCATATAATTTAGGAACATCCAAATTATTTTAAAAAAAAAAAAAAAAAAAAAAATACATTAATTTATTTTTAAATATATAATCTCACATCACTTTCCGACCATCATTCCAAAAATATACGTTTCAACTTTCCAAAGTATTTTTTTTTTTGTTGTATTGTATTTTTTACCACCTAATTCTGCAATAATAACCTCTGTGATTGGTCGCATTGCGCCGTGTTCAACCCAACGTTGTCGATTAATATTTTAAATTATGTAACCATTGGTCTTTATTTTGTATAATATCGTGTTGTTGTTGAATCTTTGTGAGTAATTCTCGTTATTTTTGTCTATTTTCATAGTCATTTTAAGCACAAACATTTGCTTTTAAGAACTAAATTTCGAGTTTTGTATTGCATTTCTTGAAATTTTGTGTTGAAAATATGCTGAAGCATTGTTTAACAGTCGAAAGAAAACTTGTAGCTTCCCTGATAAACTATTTTGAACGAGAATGTGATAATAAATGTCCTTTATTACCCTTGACTACAGTAAGAGAAGTAAGTTTGATTAATAAGCATTATACCACTTTCAAATTTATTTCTACGTAAGTTTTTTATTAAATTGTGTGATTATTAGTTTGTGCGTTAATATTACCCTCTTACTTGTTATTACCATTTATGGCGTTAGATGTACGTGAATAAATAAACCATAATAACGCTTAGAATAATAATCTTCATAATGGACTAGTTTTTTGCCAATATGTAATAGTGAAACTAGCTATAGAACAAATAAATCAATTAATGACTAAAATATTAGTTATTAAATTAAAAAATAATTTTTTTTTTTTTTTTTTTTTTTTTTTTATATTTTTGTCAAATTTACAAATTAAGATTCATCTCCTAAATCCATCACAATCTGGAAGCGCTGTCGCCATCGCTTGTTACTCAAAGTTGATCACGTGCATCAGAAATTATTTTGCGATTACTTTGCATTATTCTTCGGTTTATTTAACCATTACAATATTTTTTAACTCACTTTTACAAAATAAGCAAAACTGTGTATTCAAAATGTTTTTTTTTATTTTCTTCCAATAATCTCGAAATACGGATTTGGGTATGGTCAGTGGTGGGGACAAACTGAATAAAAAAGCTTTTAGCACACTTAGTTTAGTCATCATCGCTTGTCACTCAAGTTGATCGTACAGCGGAGATTTTTGCGATTACCGTAGGTAATAATTAATCAATACAATTTTCTAAAGAGAAGAAACGACAACGTCTATGATTTTAGACTGTCCTTCTATAAATATTGTATATTCTTCATAACTATATATACTTAATAATATTGTATAATACTTCATAAATGTTGTATATTTCTCAGGTAGACTGTCCAAGATCGGGCTCTCCGGCACCACATACAAACCTGGCTTTGACCGAGGTGACCACAGTTCCCACTGTGACATTTTCTTTAATGTGGATGGGGCTCAACGTATCTCTGTCCCACAGAGGCGGCTTGTTGTTTCTGTCCACGACATCGAGCTCGATGTCGACGTCGGCAAAGGAGGGGGGCGTGCCGCGGTCGGAGGCGCGCACGCGCAATCGGTACCTGTCTCTCTGTGCGAGAGTGAAATAGACAAACGGCACGGTCATATGAGTGGGTGGGGACAAAATAGAAAACGTAAGAAAACGAAAAAATAATGTACCAGAATGATACGTATGGCTCGAACGTAAAGTTAAATGATGTCGAGACATACCAATTTCTGATAAACTGAGTCAATAATATGTTAACATAGAAATATGATAAAAAGACCAGAATAACAATTAAACTTACAAGAAGGTCACCCATTCTACCTTCTACTAAAAACATAGCAAATTACTTGCAGGCGCTAAAACTTCAAACCTTTTAAAAAGTAACTGGAGATATTGTTCTATGGATTTGTGTAGAAAGATGAGTTGGTATTTTTATAATGTCTGTATTATAGCCATAATTCTTAATAATGTGTGAACATATTCAATAAAAATTTAATTCTTTATAATAAACGAACTTGATTGATCCATATTATCCTTGATTATCAGATTTATATTTTTTAAATTTTTTAAATATTCTATATTTTTTATTTCCGGAAATCAGTGAAAACAATATATACCCACTAAAGATCAATTTACAGATTATATATAAATGTCAGCTCAGAGCATTTAAAATATTTTTGATTTGCAGTGCTTCTTCTAGTAACTTTAATTTAATTGAAATAATAAACAAATTATAAACAATAACAATTTAAACAATGGTACAAATGGTGTAATTACTTCAAATATTGTAAAACATGTATTGCCTAAATTTATACATTTTTTATATTTAAGCTATTCAAACTATTTTCTATACAGAATTGATTGTAATTCTCGTGGGGAGATTCTCACGTTAAAAAATAAAGTTTATTTTTATATCAACATAAGTTCAATGCTGTTTTGTTTCTTACTTACTTAAATAAAATACTTACTGATAAAAGGTTAAATTATTTCCTTCTTGTGTATTTTTTTCGATTATAGTTTTCTTCCAAAGTGCTTTTAGTGATTTGAATGAAACTTTGAGGGTAAAGTTATTATAAATGCTACATATTTTAATGGTAAATGTCGAACAGATTTACCAGGGACCTGCATGAGTTATCACTAGAATATTTTCTAAAAGAATGTGCCCCAAAATTCTTTCTCTTGTCAACAAAATCTATTGTAGGCCCTTTAATGGCGATTAAACCTTGTATTTTGTCTATTTTGATCTCCTTGATATGAGATAAACGCAATGTTGATAATCAGAATTAAAATAAAAATAAAATTTATTTCATCAAAGGAGACCAGAAATAGACAAACTGTCAAGAGACATCTTTTGATCAGCAAACCAACACAATTTTTGTTAAAAGATAAAATAAATAAATATTCTAGTGATAATCCCTATTTTATCATTAAAATATGTAACTTTTACCCTCAAAATTTCATTCGAATCACTAAAAGCGTTTGGAAGAAAATTATAATTAGTCTTATTTGGGTAAGGTATCTCCCCACGGGAGATGGCACATGCTTTTAAAACCCTGTATATTAGGATGATTGACGCTTTATCGTTAATAAATGTTTAACTAATTGTGTAGGTTGACAGCAGAATTTTACTTAAATTGATATAACAATCGAAGAATGGACTTAAAGATACCATCTCAAATATATTATTTAATCGTGTAATGAATATAATCTGTGTTAATGCCAATTTAAGAATAGTTGTACTATCAGAAACTAGTACGTCTCAAATAAAAATGATAACACCAAAATTAAAATAATCAAGTAATTAAAATCAACTCAATCACACAACTGAACTGAACATAACGGGAAATAATGAGGCCGACTTGCTGGGCTTACCTCGTGGAGAGACTGTGTTTTGGTACAATTTTGCGACAAATGGAAGTCGGCATAAGAGTTTAAATAAAATTCAGTCAATTTACTAAACAACATTACTGGATAATTTTTACAAAATATGTTAAATCATACACGAATACTTCTTAAAATACTTACCATCATGAACAAAACATTATTATTCAAAACAATCTACTAATTTCTAATATAAAACTAACTATACTATTTAGAAATTCTCTAGTTTCTTGTTTTACCTAGAAGTTCAATATACATTTATTCCCAAAAACAAATGACTAGCATAAAATATTAATATTGCATATGTAAAATATACTTTTAACAAAAATATAAAAAATATTTAATTGAAAATTTTGTTATTAAAAGAGGAATTGGAACCATCTAGATGTCCGAGTTATTCAAATTAGTATTAACTTATTCAATTATTTTAGTAAAGAGTTCTAAACGTATAAAATGCTTTTTACTTGCCATATATTGCCTTAATAACAAATTATGTAGCACATATTTATATTTATACCTGGTACGTCTCAAAGTTGCTCACCTACCTTTTTTATTTTTCAGATAAAAAAACGAGATTTGATATGTTAGTATATGACATAAATTGTCCAGAATTGGTTTGGCATATTAAATTGTTGGCTGAGCCTTCCTGTTTCACTCGGTATTTTGTTACTTTATTCGGTAGAAGAGCTGACACTCTGAATAGAATGACATATCATATGTCAACTTTTTGACATTTTTTACTAGTTTATTTGAAATTACTGCTTTGCGGTTCGTAACGAAAATTTTTGACTCGAAATACCAAAGTGTGTGTACCAAATTATTCGTAAATATTTTTTTTAATTTAATTATATTTAGGCCAGTCAATCTGGAATTTGAGGTAGAAAAAATTGAGACTGATTAAAAAAACAATTTGAATCTTTTAACTATTGGACACAAAAAACCTTAGATAATCAAATCTATTTTCTAAGACTCTTTGATTAAAAATTAGTGTTTTAATATCCAGCCTCCAGGAAGGAGAGAAGTATTGGACGATAATAAACTAAATAATTTTGGGTGTCATTTTAAATCGAATAAAGTAAAAATATATCGAGGGGGTGCCATTAAAATCAAAAGTTATAGTCATTTCACAGAACAGGGAAGTGATAAACAATTAGACCGCGATCAATCAATCATATACATCATCGAACATGTATACTAACATACCGTCATTTTTTTATCCGAAAAATAAAGTTATAGGCATTGTTGCCACGAGACGCGGTATATAAGATACAGTTTTACTGTTGTTAAAGCACATCCATTTTTACAGAAATGCACTAATTTTATATCACATCAAATATATTACCTAAAAAACAATTAGTAAAAGACAGCCTTGAGCTAAAGAGTTTATATGAATATATACATATGATTGAGTGGGAGGCAATGATAAATTATTAATAATTATCTTCAACTGACATTTTCTTTACTTTTGAAAATTGATAATCAGTAACATATTTGTTCAAAACTTTGTATAAAACTTTAAAATTAAAGACAATGTCAATTTGAAATGATATTTTCTTTCACAATTTATACGAATAGTAACATACCCTGTTTATACCGCAAAGGTGTGTCAGGATTGACTTTGACAAAGAGATCCCTTCATCATTTTATATTTTAAATTAGTGTGAATGTCATCGATACTCAGGCATTTCGATCATGGGTATTTCCGGTTTATTAAAAAATAAAAATCATATTAGATGGACATGATCGAAAAAGAAAAGGCATCCAGTTGGCCTGGAAATGACAGAATCGATAACATTCCTCAAACAATTTTACGCATAAATCACATGGACATGTTTTCTGGTAATACCTGTTAGAAATAAATGTTCATTCTTCATATAAACTATTTTGCTTAAGACATATGCTCCATACCAAAATATCATATTAACAAAAACGAGTATATCACAACTTAATAAATTGTGAATAATCACCAACAGTATAAATTTAGGTATACTGAGTAAAAATACCTCAGTGTAGATATAATTATTAACTAAAAGGCAACAAAGGTGCATAAAATAAATAAATTTTTAATAGCAACTTGAAGACCACCATACCCACAAACATAACAAAAACTCTACATTAGGTGTATTGTTATTTCAAAATCACCATAACCCATTTCTTTAAAAATAGTAATAAAAACTACGCAAAATATCTCCCAAAACACAGTCTTGATTCACCACAAAAAGTCTATAAAGCAAAATTACCGTAGAGCTAGCTGACAATACGGTATGTTTTACTTACTGGGTAACATCCCTGTATTCCATTGGTCGGTGGTATATTTTTTTAAAGTGAACAACAGAAAAAGTGCAGTTAAATAAAAATTGAACTCAACTTAGATAGTAGTCGCATACACACATCAATTTTATATTAATATCATATATAAATAATTTATTAGGTAAATTCCTTCAAATTTGATCTACTCCCGTATTATTATTCAACAGTAAATAATTAATATTTTTTTAAACTGTATTTATATATCCTTTAATATTTATCAAATATGTAATTAAAATTTTATCCTATTTGCTTATTAATTATAAGTAGGTATTGAGTTTATTTATATTAAAACTTACTCTGTTTTAAAAAGATCAATACTACATTAAAGTGGTTATTTATGCACCGAAGTTTTAATAGGGGCTGATGGGTATTATTGCCTACTAATAATTTCAGTATTTTTTGAAAATATTTAATATAAAATGATATAATAAAAAAAATGGTCAAATTCTTATTGTGCATGGTAAACTATGCATTGTGATGTCAAAATGTTTCTGGGAACTAAACCTGGGAACAAAATCTATATTAAAAAGGTATTATAGATCATAGTATCTCTTAATATAGATCTTAAATCCCATGAGCATTATCCGTTTATTTACGAAGTTAGAGTCTTAACAATAATGCTCACATAATAAAGTTAAAATTAGCTATATAACAGTATGCGATGCACGCAGACAAAAAGCATAGTCCTTAAAGACATATATTTGCTTATTAGATCATAATTTCACATTCATAATTTGTATATTTATTTTTTTATAAGTTAAATCATATTCAACGGTATATCCATAATAAACAGTAAAGTAACCAAATATGGAATATAGTATCTCTAATATGGAATACCGCCATTTCTCTGAAACGAATATGTCAAATCGCAAAAAACAGTTATTTTTAATCTC